TGTGTTTCTCCACCCTAAGCTAGCCTCTAATTTTTGGTGGACACCGACTGGGTGTCCTACAATTTAACTCAATTCTGACACGAACTACCCAGAGTCAGTGCAAACCTCGTAGGTTAAGGGCTTAGTCCCACAAGACTGCCCCCCACTTCAGATGCTAATCTCACGTCCCAGGTTGTTGCTTGTGCTTCTGACTAAATGACTGTACATCGAGGGTTCCCACAATTCCCTCCTCAGGCTTGATAATTTGTGAGAATGGATCAGAGAACTCAGGAAAGTGCTTTACTTATGATTACTGGCTTATGACAAAGTTTACAACTCAGGAACAGCCAAATGGAAGAGATGCATGGGGGCACATTAAGTGGGAAGGTGCATGAAGATACCCTGTGCTCTCCGGGCGCCCCGCCCTCCCAGCACCAACCCAGAGGCTCTCTGAACCCCATTGTTTAAGGGTTTTATGAAGGCTCATTAAGCAGGTATGACTGATTAAATCATTGGCCACTGGTGATTAAGTCATCTCCAGGCCCTTATCTTCTTCTGCTCCCCAGGGTAGTGGCGGGTGGAATGCGGCTGAAAGTTCCAACCCTCACAGGGTTGGTTCCTCCAGCAATCAGCCCCCATTCTCCCAGGGCCAGCTCGTTAGCACAAACTCAGAGATGGCTGAAAGGGGTTTATGAAGAAAAACCAGAGATGCTTTTCTCACCCCCATTACTCAGGTAATTCCAAGGATTTTAGGAGTTCTGTTAGGAAGCGGGGCAGAGACCAAATATGTAATTCTTATTATGTCACAGGGTACTTGCTTGAATCTTGTATGCATTTGATCTTGTTACTTTTGCCTTAAACATATTGGGGGAGGGGTGATATATAAATTGATAAATTACATTGAGCAAAATCATTCATCTATGTTTTCGTTTGTTTATATTATTTATCTGTTTATATTATTTTTATATCTGTTTATATTATTTTTACTGTACTTCACATCTGTTTTGTCTTCATTTTTGGAGCATTTTTGCTTTATTGCAGGTGATGGGGGTCTCTTTTGGGCTTACAGAGGGAAATGAGGAAGCCTCAAGCATTTCTCCAATCACCCTTTCTCTAATATATGGCTGCTGGTGAGTTATGGTTTGTGCTTTCCACCTCTTCTCAGTCTGTCCTGTTTCTGTACACCTCTATTAATTGTGTCGCTTTCCGGGGGATTTTATGTTCAAACCCACTGAGACAGAGAATCCACTATGGAGATCCCAGCTTGCTCACTGAGGTTTCCCTATGGATAAGATGCAGAATCCTATCTGTCCAAGGATGTGCTGGCCAGAGCTGCTGTGTGTGACATGACTCTGCAAGGCAACTGATACACAAGAAACTACCCTTGGCTGCTTGTCCAAAATAGAACTTTTGGGGGCAAGCACTTAGAATCTGAGACGTCACTGGTACAGAGGAGACCAGAACTCAATTGCAGTTAAGAGCATACATCCTGGAGTCATATTGCCTGTGGTTCATAGCTTGACTCTACCACTTACTAGTTGTGGGACCTTAGGTGAGTTACTGTACTAATCTGTGCCTCAGTTTCTTCATCTGACAAATGGGGATAATAATAACACACATCTCATAGTGCTCCTGTAAGGCTTAAATTAAATGATGTATGTGAAGGGTCTAGCATAGAGCTGGACATAAAACAGAAAGACTCAATAAATGTTGGTTATCATAATCATAATTATCATGGCTGTTATTTGGATACTTCCAAAGGTCTAGCACAGTGCCTTTCACATAGTAGCTTTTAAAAAATACTTGCTGAATGAATTCATGAAGCAATGAATTAATCACAGAGCAGTGCCTGAAATATGTAGTTTGGCTGAGTAAATTGTCTCCCAGGTGGGACTTTAAAATATTGGACCTAGAGACTAATATAAGTATTTCATATCTTCTTTCAAAAATTATTTCCATAATGAGAGTTGCATAGCAAATTGGCTTTTTAACAGAGAGCTTCCCCACCCCACAGTCCCTAGAGTAGTACTAGATGATCCATTTGTTAATCTTCATGATGTCCCAGTGTAAAGCTAGCAGTAGTTTTCTTTATTGGCTAGGCAACTTGCAGTGTCTGCCACAGAAAGATATATTAATTTTTAACTTGCCAGATTTTCTTCCACAAAGCCAATAGCAGTGGATGAGAGAACTTTGTGATCCATATCCCTGCCAGCAATAAATATTACTGCTTTAAATTTTTCCTCTTTTTCTTCTTTTTTTTTTTTCATTCTGATAATGTGAAGTGATATAATGAAAATGTTAAGCTTGAAATTCACAGATTAGAAGCCGGCTGGTATGGAATCAAGTCCATCTATCTGTCTCCTTCATAGAATTGAACTATATTGAAATAGGTAAAATATATTGCAGATCTTTGTTTGGATAGAATCTATTGCCCACCCTTCTTTTTGTTTTTTAGCAGATTGTTATCTCTGCTTGTCCAAGGTGCCACAGACATATATACCATATATAGACGATCCTTAGACCTTGCTATTCTTCCAAAGGTACTAGATAGCATTTGGTATAAAAAGACACTGCTCCTGGGCTTCCCTGGTGGCGCAGTGGTTAAGAATCCACCTGCCGATGCAGGAGACACGGGTTCGAGCCCTGGTCTGGGAAGATCCCGCATGTCGCAGAACAACTAAGCCCGTGCACCACAACAACTGAGCCTGCGCTCTAGAGCCTGTGAGCCACAACTACTGAAGCCCGTGTGCCTAGAGCCCATGCTCCGCAACAAGAGAAGCCACCACAATGAGAAGGCTGCACACCTCAATGAAGAGTAGCCCCTGCTCGCCACAACTAGAGAAAGCCTGTGCACAGCAATGAAGAACCAACACAGCCAAAAATAAAAAAACAAAAAAACCAAAAAAACCCCCCTGAAACACTGCCCCAGTACTTCAGGTGTGCTATTACCTTCATGATTTTCATTGTTAACATAATGAAAAAACCTCTGTCATAAGCATCATTGCTTATCATAGTTCTTATACTTACCCCATAAATTATAAATTCTTACTATTTTAGATTCTCTTCTGTTTAAATTTATTACCTTTAGTTTCTATTCTTGGTTTACAAAGTGCATTAATTTTTATCTACTAACATTTCAAACTTTTATCTTTTTTAATTGTTTAGATATTTTTCTCAGGTGTAATTATTTTTAACCTTATCATTATTGTTTCTTATTTTCTTCCTCTTTTACTTTTAACTAGCTTGTTGATTTTGATCTTACAGTTTCTGATTTTATCTGTTATCTTCTTTTTATATCATTGATTTATAAATAGCAAGCAAGAAATCTAGTTAAAGAGACAGATCCAAAAGGTTTTGCTGATGAATTGGTCACAAATGGAGAGCAAAAGGAAGGAATTAAGTGTTGAAACTCAACATTTTAGCACTAGCAAATGGGTGAAAAAGGATGTGATTTATTAAGGTAGGAAAAACAGAGAGGAATATTTTGGAAGAGAAAAATACGAGTTTCTTCACTATCACCACCACCACATAATAAAAGAAAGCACATTTAAACATTAAAAAAAGAAGACATAAATCTAGATATTTTTAAATGAATAGTTTGTTTTCTGAAAAATTCACTAGACGGTCCATTTTTTCTTCTTATTTTGCTGTGATTGGTGAAAACTTCTGGCATTTGGGAATACTTGCTGTAGATGATGAAAGGATTTATATTTCAGGAAAACTCATTGTGGTATCTATACAGAAAATAGGTTGAGGACTTCCCTGGTGGTGCAGTAGTTAAGAATCTGCCTGCCAATGCAGGGGACATGGTCCGCGAATATCCCACATGCCGCGGAGCAACTAAGCCCGCGTGCCTAGAGCCCGTGCTCCGCAGTAAGAGAAACCAACGCAATGAGAAGCCTGCGCACCGCAACCAAGAGTATACCCCGCTTCTGCGGCAACCAGAGAAAAGCCTGTGCGCAGCAACAAAGACCCAATGCAGCCAAAAATTTTAAAAATATAAATAATTATTTTTAAAAAAGAGAATAGGTTGAAAAAGCCTGAAGACAGAAAGCTCCATTAGAACGGAAGCTGTGAAGGTCAATTACAACTGGAGAAGGTGAGAAAGATCTCTATTAACAGATCTGTTAAGTTGGTTGTTGAAGTTTTGCCTGTCAGTAGATGAAAGAAGCTTTTGCTGAGAATGAAGTGGTTGAGGATTAATTTTTGAAGAAAAAGTGATAACTCGAGTTAATGGTATTTAGTTGTTTTAATCAGCATATTCAATTTTCTGAACTTCAGAGGCCTGTCCAGCCAACATATTGTCTTAGTATTGTTTTACCTAGCATGGCTTTGGAAGCCACATTATTTCAACTAAATCTTTAAAGTAATAAAAGTGTAGTAATTTGTAAATGTATTGGACACATGTTAAATATTATCTTCAGCAATGAGAACATGAGTTCCTTATAAGCAAGAGTGCCTTTTTTGTACAAAGGTAGGCTGTTACTTTGTTGAAAAGATCCCACACCCTGGAGACCAGCATTCCTGGTCTCTCACCCTCAAAATGGGCATATCATAGGATTCTTGAGGATATTTAATGAAATAATGGCTGTGTAAAGAAGGGGCTCAACACATGCTACCTACCTATACTTATCTTTCTCCTCTTCCTCTTCCAACGCCCCAGTGTAGGTACCCACAGGGCCGGCTAACCATGCGCCCGTTGAATGAATGACCATATGACTCAGAGCTCCTCATTTTGGAATTTCGACCGCTTGGAAAGCATGAGTCTACCAGCATCTGTGAAGTGTAACGTCAATAACGTTTTGTTAATTCAAAAAAAAAAAAAAAGCACCCACTAAACTACAAGTCCCGGCTTTTTCCTAGAAACTGACGAGTCACGTGACTTGCCAGGAATCCGGAAGTCTGGCCCGCTCGCCCAATCATGCCGAGAAACCTACGTAGCGGCGCCAGGATGGCCAATCCTGCTGACGCTTGCCCCGCGCCGCGCAACGCCGGGTCCCTCTTCCGCGCGCGACGCTGATGGGTCGTTAGCGGATACGGTGGCCGCGGGGGTGGTGTCAGCGGCCTCTGCCCGGCTTGGCGCCCGGCTCGGAGCCTGACTCGGCCTTCTCGTCTGGCAGCCGCGGTTCCACCATGGCTCCCAAAGGCGGCTCCAAGCAGCAGTCCGAGGAGGACCTGCTCCTGCAGGATTTCAGCCGCAACCTCTCGGCCAAGTCCTCGGCGCTCTTCTTCGGGAACGCCTTCATCGTGTCCGCCATCCCCATTTGTGAGCGCTTGGAGAGAGGCGGGCGGGGAGGCCGCCGGCGGGTCGGCCTGGGCGGGGACGTGGCAGGGCCGGGCGGACCGGCGAGGCGTGAGCCGGCGCCCGCACTCTCCCCAGCTCGCCCTGGGCTCGGGGGCAGCACGTAGCCTCTGTGGGCCTCCGTGATCTGGTCCAGGGTAGTGGTGGGCGGCATCCCAGGAGAGTCACCTGTGGCGCGTTTTAAAAGTACGCTAGCTCGTTCCCGGGCCTCACTCCTGCGGATTGTGAGTTACTCGTTCCGGGATGGCGGCCCCGAATCAGTATTAAAACTAACGCCCGGGTTAAGATCGTGTGATGTTAACATTTAGGCATATAGCCTATTTGCTTTTTTTCCCTAGAACTATCGTTTGCTTTTACGAGATCTTAAACTTATTACTTATTTTGGAGAAACTCATGAATTAAGATGAGAGACATTAACACCTGCACTGAATTAGAAGTGTAGCTTTAGGAGAACTGCTTCACGCAGAACATTATTTTCCTAGTTTGACGAGAGAAGTTGCCAAGGGCCCGCTCTACAATGTGTAGTAGCCCTTTTAATAAGCCTATTAGGGCAATTCTGAAATTCTTACTTGGATGGAAAAACTACACAGTCTTGGCCAAGGTTGTTTTTAGAGCTCAGGGTTCCCGAATGTGAATTTCCTCTCACATTGCTGCACTGTTGTTGGACAGTCAAATCCAGATGTATTTTCTCTTTCGGTTTTATAAAACCCAGCGTGCAGTTAACGTGGTGTGGAGCCTTTTGGTTCACTGGCTGCACTGAGCACTGCCTTGATTTCAGATAACAGCCATGTCAGCGTGTAAACTCTGGTTTGGGGCTGCACATGGCGTTTTGGAATGGCCTGTAGTTAGCGTTAGAGTACCCTTTAGAATGAAATTTGAAGTCTGAATTGTGATTTTGTTGAGCCAGGGTTCTCATTTTAGAAGCAGAAATCTCATAATGTACTAGTTATAGAAAGGTTATGTTTTTCAAGTGTTCTCAACTAGGGAAACTTGAGACTAACGTTTTACTGGATATCACACTTCTGAAGTTCCCCTTGTACTGTACTGGATTCCCTAATCAGGGCTGTATTTTACCAGGTTTAGCTATAATTAATTCAGCAGGCTTTTGTAACTGGCTGGTAATATTTTGTTTCTTTTTGTATCCCCCTCTCCCCCTTTTATCTTAATTCAGGGCTATACTGGCGAATATGGCATATGGATCTTATTCAGTCTGCTGTTCTGTATAGTGTGATGACCCTAGTAAGCACATACTTGGTAGCCTTTGCATACAAAAATGTGAAATTTGTTCTCAAGCACAAGTAAGTATATTTCTCAAGAGAAAGTATATATTGTTGCATTTTTATATAGTAGGAGGTCTTCTTAAAGACCATTTGTGTGTGTGTGGGTTTCAGTAAGCACTATTTTGAGATACATAGGTATGTATATTTGGAGGGGGAGGCACATTAATGGTATGAAGGAGTAGCAACTAATCGAAAAGCAGAGACAGTACTTCTAACACTGCTATGGAAGTGGGTATTGATGGTGGAATTAAAACACTTAAGTACCATCCTTAATCATTGGGTTCAGAAAAACAAACCCACCAAGTAAAGTAACATTTTAGAAGTCAAATGGAATTCTTTCTAGAAGGAATTGTTCCGGGCTCACCATGTAGAATTTTTGGATGTGAAAGAAGTGGTCTTTTTTTCTTATATTCAACACTGACATTTTTAATGCTAATTGCATTTTTCTTATGAGAATATGAAAATGTAAAAGGTTACTGTATTTCCTCTATTTCTACCTCCATTTTATCATGTCACTCTCCTGACAACTCTTCATGGCCTTCTCTTTTCTAAATGTATTAAATCCAGATTCTTCCAGGCCCTGGAATGCAAGTCTTCTGCCTCCTACCACTGGGGCCTTGTCTTTTAGGATTGGGCCTTAGATCTTCTGACTCAGTTTTGAACTGACTTCTGACTCATCCTTTGAACGTGACTTGTTCCCTCCCTCATTTAGAATCATCTCCCTTTCTTTCCATTCTTACATGTCTGGTATTTCAAGACTTCGGAATCTTTTCCAGAGAAATCTTAACTGTCCTTATTGTTCCTGTGTTAAGCTTTCTAGTGATGAGTAGAAACACATTGAGATGATCTCAGTTAACAGGGATTTATTGTAAGGAGGCCAGAAATGGTCTCAGCAACTGAAACTGGCCTCAGCAGCCTCTCCACTGTCGTTCTTGAGTCCAGGTTGGAGTCCAGGTTGTGCGTGGCTGTTGCTAGAACGGCTAAATCCAGGTCATCTTTGTTGTCTCCCTGCTTGACAGCCCCTCTTCACTAACTGCCATGCCAGGATTCAGCCCATCTCGGCCTCTGCTGTCCTGGGCTGTCTTTCTTGTGATAAGGCATGGCCATCTGTGGATAGCGAAGCCCTCAGAAGTGGGCGTTTTGCATGACCCATCCTTTTTGATTCCCTTGGAACTCAGTCCCTTTGGGACCTAGTGTTTTTTCACTTGTTCTGCATATCATTTTTATTCGCCTTTTTGGAGTCAAAAATCATGTTCTTTCCCCTCATTTCTCCTTTCGGCTTCTTGAGGGCAACTGCCATGTCTTTTGTTTATTTCCCTTACAATAGTCAATGGTACATTTAATTTAGTTCAGTAAAATTCCAGTGACCTACTGACTTAATACACCCTCTGAATGGAATTATTTTTTAGTCATAGTTTTGGTGTAATATTAAATATTGCTACTGACATCAAAACTCCTACAGATTGGCAAGATTGTTAAGGCTTAAAGAGCCAGCAAGATTCTGAGTGTGGGTAGGTGTTGGTAGAGAGAATGGCTTCAGAGTCGACAGTCTGGATTCCAGTCCCAGCTCTGCTGCTCTTAAATGCAGAGCCTTGGGCATGCATTTCATCTTTCTAGACTTCAGATTCTTGAGCTGTAAAATGGGAGTACTAATGGTACCTCGTGGGATGGTGAGGATTAAATATGATACGTGCGACATAAACCATGGCGTCTGGCATGTAATAAATGTTTGTGTGCAGTGTTGGAGAGGTTGGGGGTGAGAGATCCCACAGGAGTTTTTTTTTTAAGGTGGCATGATTTTAAAAATGTTTGCAAAGATGTTTTTTTATCTCAGTTGGCTGAGAGCTGGGCCCGTGGATTTCCCTGTTTTGTTTTAGAGCATTCAGCGCTGAGTGAGGTTTGTTTTCTAAGAGCACTGAGATGGAGGGTAGGGCTTCTTGAGTTGTAATAAACCTACAGTGTGGCTGTTAATGTCTCTGTTAGGCGAGTATAGAATTGTAGACATAGAAGAGAAATTAACTAGTTATCTGGTTCAGTGTCTTCAGGAAGATTTGTCATGTGGACAGATGATTGACTATTTGTCCAAGAGATGCTTAGAGCCAACTCCTCTGAAAATAGTTTATTCCTGTGTCCTAGCACCCTGACAGTTGGGGGTGGTGGTGTGTGTGTGTATTTTTTTTTACCCTCTGTTCTGCTAAGAAAGGTTTCTGCTGTAAACCATGTCCATTTCTTATCAATTGGCCTTTCCTAGAAAAAAGCAGTCTTACGTGAAGTTCAGGAAACACTTAATAAGTGCCTGGGATTTGCTAGAGATTAAGAGATGAGAGTCTCTGCCCTGCGGAACTGAACTTTTACATAATAAAATGAGTCAGGGAAAGTTGGACATTATAGTGTCTTAAAGTATCTCTTAAAGCAGCTACCTGCTCTCTTAGCTGCCTTTTTCTTTACGTTTCAGAACTTATTTCCTTTTACCTGCTTTTTTTAGACAAACTGATTTTCCTCCCTCCAGTTATCAGTCTGTGGAAAAATACATCAGTTGAAGCTGACTAAAGGTTTTCTTTTTAATAATGTCACTTCTAACTTGATTCTTGACTGAGAGATAGAGATGGAGATATAGTTAAAACCAGCCTGAATTTGTGCTTAATTTGTAGCCCAGAAGCTCATGTGGTTGAGAAAGGTTGAGAACTATTGCCTTGAATGATCTTGGGCTTTTCAGGAATCCATCCTGATTTTCCCACAGTTTCCTTTGGTCCACTGACCAGAACTTAATATACATAGTAATGAGGGATTGAGTAATTGAACATAGATTGAACAGATATCTGTCTCTATGGTGCACATCCTGTTGCTTTCAATACATCTCAGTATCGTGTTGAATGTTTTCTTAGTGGGACTCTGTAATTGTTATATTTTGCTTGTGATCAGTTATTACTTTTTCTATGTTTATGGCTAATCAGTTTCTCCCATATTATGAAAAATAAATCATGTTGAATTTAAATGTCTAATCTTTGGGAGGCTTTTTGTATTTCATCACAGGTTAAATTTTATCCTCTCTTTCACTAGCAACCCCATCTGATAAAATTCACCTCATAGATTTTTTTAGGATTATGTCATTTCTTTCTTTATCTGACTTATCACTAAAGATTCTGATCTGATTTCTTGAATAACACTTCCAGCCTTTTCTGGCTAATTCCATATTATCTCTTGGTGCAACTCTCAAACCAGTAGTTTGTTTAACTAAAAGTGCTGTGGTCACTCCTTAACCATGTGGTATTATTTCTTTTTAGTGAAATTCCCCTTTGGAGTAAAGTTAAAAGCTTTACTTTAAGATATTACAGCTATTAATTCTCTCTTTGTTAAGCTTAGTTTTCTCTCCTGTTATTTATTGGAATTGAAATCATGTATCATTTGCTAATGCCTTAACAAATTTATTTGTGGAACAGTTAAATTATGAGTTAAAACAAATTGGAGCTATAATGATTCATAACTAAACTGTGTTAATAGCATTTGACTTTTATTTCCATATTAAATACCTAACTTAGGAAAATTCTCCCTTTTAAGCAGAAATCAAAACACATCACTAATAAACCACATCTTGGAAGTTTCTTGAACTCCCTCTCTTTTGGCTAGCACAGTGTAATAAACTTGGAACTTTCTGTCCAGCTTATTTTCTTGAAATGTAAAGTATATAGTTGCCAATACAAGATACGAGTACAGAGTGTTTCTGAGAGAGTGTGATGTTCACTCCTGGAGCATGTGGAAACGTTTTTTCTTTTCCTTCCAGAGTAGCACAGAAGAGGGAGGATGCTGTTTCCAAAGAAGTGACTCGAAAACTTTCTGAAGCTGATAACAGAAAGATGTCTCGGAAGGAAAAAGATGAAAGGTTTGGCTCCCTATTTTAAGTGTTTGTGGTAATCAAAAAGGGGGTTATTTGTAGAAAATAAGTTTTTGGTTTCTGCTTAGAGCATGTGAATATTAGAATTATCTGAGGAAAACGTTGGTATTAGAAGTCAGGGTAATGAGAATAATAACTGACTTTTTGAGTTTTTATTACTACCAGATACTTTTCTTTGTGCTGTACACAGTTCATTTATTCCTCCAAAGAGCTCCATGAGGTAGGTACTGTTGTTTTCTCCACTTTACACCTGAGGAATCTGAGGTACAGAAAGCTCGGGTACCTTGCCCAAGGCCATAGATTAGTGTGCGGTAAAACCAGGATAAGAGTGCAGCCAGTCTGACTTGAGAGCTTGTATTCAGCTGCTCTGCTGGAATTTAGGAGCCTGCAGAGCTGTGTCCAGTGCTGGCTCTGCCACTTGGTAGCTGTGTGACCTTGAGGCTATCACCTAACCCCTCTGGGTCTGAAGAGTTTATGTTGTGTTGTGTGTTAGCATTTTTAGGTGGTGGTATTTCTGCTCCTGAGCTTTCCTGGGGACATCTGGTTCTTGGTTATCTGCATTGTTTGGGAAAAAGAAAAGAATTAGGTTTGTCTCCTGTTGCCGAATTCTGTGCCACATTTGTTAGTCCCACCCCCAATTTTTCCTGACAGCTGCTGTTAGAAGGCTAAAAAACAGTCTGACATCTGAATAGAAGTCTCTGAATGATTGAGTAAACTTGTGCTTAAGAGTTGCCAGATGGTTTAATAGAGTCATGAGTCGAGGCTGTTTTCATGGATCTTAAATTTTAGTATCTACGAGGTGCTTTATGAAACGGAATTTTTATCCCACTTTTCTCCAGAAAGACTTTGTGGGGACTTGCAATATTAAATTGCATGTGAAACAAAGCAATACAATTTAAAAAGATCAGAAACCGTTTAAAAGTAAGAAAAGGTGGATGAACAAGGACTCAGCATTAGTTACAGCAGTTGGGCACTAAACTCAGCTCTGAGCTTCCAAGTGTCAGAGGAAGCATCCAGAGTCACCCAGCTTTCATTGCTGGATGAGAAGCAGCGTGCACGTCCTTCTGGAAAGAAACTTTCCTGGCGCTGAATCTTGGAAGGACTTTATCAAGTGGATCCTTATTTAAGGGACACTGAGTAACTTAATGAACAGTGTCTTCTACAGTGGTTTTGGACAGGCACCAGAACATTATTGAAATGATTACGTCCTATGGATCCTTCATAAAACTGAAGGCACAATATTAAACTCATGACAGTGAAGGCCTGTTTTCTATGGAACTGCTTTAAAGACCTCTGGCTCTGCATAGCTTTTGTTTTTAGAATTGCAAAGTTTTTTTTTTTTTTAAAGATTTTTTTGATGTGGACCATTTTTTAAAAAATTAATTAATATTTATTTTTGGCTGTGTTGGGTCTTCATTTCTGTGCAAGGGCTTTCTCCAGTTGTGGCGAGCCGGGGCCGCTCTTCATCGCGGTGCGCGGGCCTCTCACTGTCGCAGCCTCTCCTGTTGCGGAGCACAGGCTCCAGACGCGCAGGCTCAGTAGCTGTGACTCACGGGCTTAGTTGTTCCGCGGCATGTGGGATCTTCCCGGACCGGGGTACAAGCCCGTGTCCCCTGCATCGGCAGGCGGACTCTCAACCACTGCGCCACCAGGGAGGCCCTGTATAGCTTTTTTTTTTTTTTTAAATTTTTTTTTTTTAAATAGCTTTTTTATTGCAAGTTTTTGCATAGGGATAGATATTAGAGAATCTAGACCACTTTCTTTTAACCTTTTCATCAAATTTTAATACTCATTAGAACATTGGTTCTTAAATGGAATGCACATCATAGTTACCCAAATTTCAAAATGCTTGTTACAAGCTCTTACAGGTCTTACAGGTTTTAGGTGATTAATTGTATCAGAGATGGCAGATGGGTCTCTTCTGCCCACTACAGACTTGCCTGATTTGGTCTGGCACTTTTTCTTGATCCTGGGATGTGTCTCAGAATCTTTCTCAGTGTGGTGTTCAGGTAGTCTCTACTAGTGGATCAGAGTTGGAATTGGAAATGAAACCTCTTCGCCGTTGTCTAGTCCAGGTATTTCAGAGTAGGATGAAATGGAGGTTTTATTGATATATAAAATGCAGAGTGTCAGAAGATTATAAAATTTTCATTCTTGTCACCAGTAGAAACGTGTGCTGTTTGTAATTCTCTCGCAAAGGCCATGCTGGATACAGTTGTACCCAGGTCTGTACTCATTATTGATGCTGCTAACTGGATCCAAGACTCCCTTTAAGATCCAGTATTTTTCTTCCTCAAAGGATTAGTTACTTCCAATAGATTTAAGAGAAGGCTTATCGGCATCTTTCTGCCCAGAAGGGTATCTTCAAACCTCTATCTAAAATCATTTGGAATACGGACTACATGCCACTTTGAACCTACTTTTCTACCTTTCCAAGGAAATTAGCAGAGGAGAATCAGATTCATTAACATTTGTCCCAAGGTACAAATGTTATTTCTCCTTGACTTACTGACGGTCCATCATTTAGTATTATCAGATTGTAAGAGTTGTTGAGTTTTTTGGTCTCAACTTTTCTCCTGTTTTAGGAAGTGCTCCTTGGAAAAATGACTGCTTGAGAAGTTCTCCCAAACTAGATTTCCTACCAGTGAAGCTTTTGTGGAACCATTGCTGATGAGGGCAAATGGAGGTCCTAAACTTTTTCAAAATAAACCAGGGTGGACTAGAAAAAGTTGAGAGCTGTCAGACAGTCCTGACTGTGTATACCCTGATGTAACACACGGTCTTTGCAAGCTGGGATAACCTAAAGGATTAAGCCACTCTTTCATCAAAAATGTCTTGAAGATGGTTCTGATTCAGGGCATGATGGGGAGTTAGGGAAAATTGCTGCGGTGGAGGTGTGATAATTTAATCACCAGCAGTAAAGGCATGCTAGTGGCCTACTTAAGGAACCTGTCTTCACTGGGTCTTGTGCCAGAGCCTTAAAAACAGAGGCAATTGTTCTGAGTGTTTTGTAGCATTAAACCATGTTGGGACTATGGATATTTCTGGGCTGGTGTTTTCTTTGATCATTGTTAGAATGGTGTAATGTATTAATTCCAAGTCACGTATAGTTTTTAAATTTACATTTAAACTTCTCTGAAATCAGAAGCTATTTTATAGTTGATAGCTGCATTTAATGTAATGTCCTTCACTTCTTCCAAAGTTTACAGCAAATTGAAGATTTATTAAGTTGATGGTATCTACAGAATCAAGGAAATATGGCGTATGTATTAGAGACCACAAATTTCTTCTGACGAAGATGAGGCTAAACCTTCCATTTAGCTCCTTTACAGCCATGCTTGTTGACTTTGGATTAGAACATTTGGTGACTAAAACATGGCAGTTAGTACTGACGTTAGCCATAGTGCTGTCCTTAGGATTAGTTGGGGCTACTATCTGGCCCCAGAGTAATGTATCTTTCTGGGGGAGAAAACATCTATGGCAATGAGTTACAGCCTTTTTGATAATGACCTGCAGTAAAAAATATATATATATATTTTACTCTTTGACCAAATACACTTTTACATACACACATGTAAATGTTTCACAGAACAATAATTATTACCCTACTGTATGTGATGCACTTGATACTTTTCTGTTTTTTCCTTTTTTTCTTTAACGTGCTGGTCTCAACTCACTCTAATTTTTCCCGATCATCAGATCCACTCAGTTGATTTCATGTCCCACTAATGGGTCACAGCCTACCTACTCTTTTAACTTTGTAAATTGCTTTACAAAGTTAATTAACTGAGGGAAATAAAGGTTCCCTTATTCATAGGCACCCTGGAACTTCCTGTTGCCTGTGTGAAGAGGTAAAAGAAAAGGTTGATAAAGTACTAGTAAATTACTATGATATTATAATGTGTAAAGAAGATTAAATAAAAAGTAAATGGGTTTCACAGAAGTTAAAAACTCCTCCTAATGGTCAAGCAGATTCTTAGTTTGAATTAAATAAAGATGGATAAAGAGAGTCACAGACAAGTCTGCTTCTGTGATGCCACAGCTAGCTTTGTCCATGGGCTTGTCTTAAGGCGAAATATTGAAGGCTGACATCTGTAGACTGTAGAGGGTCTCAAGCCTCAAACAGCTGAGAAAGCCCTGTCAGGCTGCTAGTCATCAAGTTTGTTTTTGGTGAGTACCTAGAGAAAGATGCCTATTTCAGTTGCTGATGAAACCAAGCTAATTTCAATTAATCAGTCCCTTCCTGCAAAGCTCTAACTGCCTGGGAAAAAGGTAACATCCCCAGCAACTGTTTCTTGAGCATGGATAAAGTTTTTGTCTTTTTTGGCTGCATCGTGTGGCTTGTGGGATCTTAGTTCCCTGACCAGGGATTGAATCTGGACCCCAGCAGTGAAAGCACCGAGTCCTAACCACAGGACCACCAGGGAAATTCCTGAGCATCAGTAAAGTGAAATATCTTTTTCAGTAGGAAAAAGGAGACAATGCTGACTGAATTTAATATTAAAAACAGATTCTGCCCAGAACACTTAAGGAAGAACTTACTATGAGCTAGAGCCATGTGGTATTTAAAATTTTTAGTACCTGTTTAAAAACTTAAATGACTTGTTTTGTGTCCACAGAATCTTGTGGAAGAAGAATGAAGTTGCTGATTATGAAGCTACAACATTTTCCATCTTCTATAATAACACCCTATTTCTGGTCTTGGTCATTGTTGCTTCCTTCTTTATACTGAAGAACTTCAACCCCACAGTGTATCCTTTAAAGGTTGATTATCTTTTTTAGAAGTCTAGAAACAGTTCGTTTTAGTTTTGATTTGTCTGAGTTATTTTTTGGTAACAAAAAACGACACAGGGAGTCAGTCCTTTAAAAAGCACCGTGACCTCAGGCAAATTTCTGGACATTTAAAATACGGGCTTTTGGTTTGATCTGAAGTTCTTTTAAGTTTATGAATTAAGACTTCATGATAAATAAGTATTACAAAGCAGTCTTACGTATATGATGATGTGTACCTGCCTAGTTTAAAAAAACTTCTAAGGAGACAAAGCAAACTTGCCTTCTTTGCTACCTCCTGGCATGAGCCCTGTGTCTGCTGGTACTTTGGGGCTTTGGGGTTGGGTGGATAGGCAGTGGAGTTAAATTGGCACGTTTCATAATAGCTTAACGGTGTTTCAAGCTGCTCTTAAATTGAGCTTTTGGGCAAGAATCAGTCTTCTCTTGTTAAGGTAATTTATTAAAGGTATTATCCAGGGATGTGCAGCCAAACTTTTAACCATTGGAGATTTTGATGTAATAAAATATCAGACACCCTCCAACTTGTATCTCCTGGGACTACTGGAGTGGTGTGCCCCAAACACTCTAGTCCTGAGGCTGAGAGTAGCTGCAGACTTTCAGAACCTCCTTGCTTTTACAGGCTAGTTGTAGCCAAAACACTGATAGACAGGGAAGACTTACTTTTCCTTTGCTCTTGATGTGGGGGTTGGGGGGTTGGGGAAATCAAGTCCCTTCTTCCTCCCTATGTTCTTTGATCAGTTCGTTTCCTGCAGGTTAAATAGAATTCAGATGTTTTATTTGTGATCATGTGTTCTAGGTTTCTGTCTCAAGTGTTTTCTTTTTAAAATTGGAACACGTTTCCTGTGAATGTTCTTCATTCTTTATAATCTCCTCTCTTGTAAATTGCATTTGCAGACATTAATGACATTATTGTCATTAGACAGCGGCAGGAGGGAAACAGTACATTCCAAAGAGATGGGTTCTTTTTGTTTTGTTGAAAACTAATTTGGGGTTGATTTTTCCTTAACATTAAATTCTTACAGGAACTACATTTTGTCCATAAGTGCTTCGTCGGGCCTCATCGCCCTCCTGTCTACTGGCTCCAAGTAGAGCACGTCAGCTTCCCTCCACCGCCCTGGCTTTGTGTCTATGGGTGGCCTGTGGTATATGGAAAAGTAGCAGGGTGGTCAGGTTGGAAGACACACAAGCTGTTTTTGTAAAAGTCTGGAGTTTGAGGGTTTGAAAAACCCAACAAAATGTAATTCAATATTTGTTTATTGGCTCTTTTTTTTTTTGACAGATTGTTGAAATTAAATGAATTGAAAGGGAAACTCAAGAGTACCAGGACATTTATTAAAAGGCAAAAGTGTTGCAATATGTTATAATCACAAGGGGAGAAAATAACTTGTTTCCTTGACTTGTCAGAGGTCACAGTAACCTGGACTGAGCTGTTATTATTTATAATAGTAGCAAGAAGTTAATAATTGGTTCTGTGTGTTCCAAGCACAATATTACAACTTTTTTTTGAACCACAAATATCAGAATGAGTCCTCTCCCTCTGGGGGATTGAACAGAAGCTTCATGTTTGCAAGTCTCTGAATTTGTGATTTGAAATAACTCAAAGTTAAAACATTAGTTTCTCCAACTTGGAGAAGAGAAACTTGTGGAAAAGTTGTTCTTTTTTTTTTTTTAAAGGAAGAAAGGCAGCCAAGGTAATAATCTAAAAATAGTGCCTAGGCATATGAGAGTTGTCCTATGCGGTTATTAAAGTACACACTGCTCAGCTCTATAGCTTTGGTCCTGGGTGTCCAGGGAGGTTAGCTTGACCCTACCATGTTGGTTTGACCTATTAAGAGAATGGAATCATTGTTTTCTCTTGACCGGGGTCTCACATCACTGGAGGAATGTTCAATAAGAGAAGCTCTTTCCTGAATATTGATGTGTAAAAGACCAAAGTAATTTTTGTGATCTTAGTTCTGGAATTCTAAGAACTCTCCAAGAAATTACAGTGGTTTTGGTGCTGGTCAGCATTTTTCCATGAGGACTTTTCGTAAATTTGACCCTTTAGTCCAAAGGTTCCTATCAATTGTAAACAAAATATTGATCTCTTTAGACCTTGTGGATCCAGCCAAGAGCAGTCTCTTGCATTTTTTAACCAGTGTGTTTACAGGTAATTATTTTTTTCTATAGGCCACGATTTGAAAAAGTTTGGGAAACTCTTCTTGAACCTACATCACTTAAAAGGTTATGGACTCACAGGTGATAATTCCTGTCAGCTTTTGACCACATCCAGTACTTTTCTACAAACAGTATCTTAAAGGAAATATACTCCCAATGGCTAATCTTAACTTTAATGTTTGGTTTCCACTTCTAAATTTAAGGTGAATGTTGCAAATAATATTCACCATTTATAACTATAGAAAGGTATTCACCAGGAGTCCATCTTCCAATTCCATGCTGTTGGATGTTTTGCGAAGTCACATCTAAGAACCTGGAAGGAAGACAGGCCAGGAGTACGTTTGCCTAGTGACCCAGATCTTCATTATCTTCAACTGAGGATTAGATTTCATCATTGCTTTTAGAAGTCTGCAGTTCTTTACTTTTCTCTGGTACATTGTTATCCATGTGCCACCACTGGGTAATAAGGGGTTAATGGGGAAGTCAGAAGAAAGACCCTGCATAGTAGTTAGTGTAGCACAAAAGAAGTTTATTTTTATTATGTTTTAACTTTTTTTTTTCTGTTGATTAATAACTGGTCAGTAGTTTGGTGGCGTGGCGTTTGTACCAATTGCATTTGCTTATTTGACAAAATGACTATTTGACAAACCATCAGTGTCTACTGTTTGTTACCAGAGCTGGGTCAAGTAATTTTTTACCTGTAATTTTTAACTTGCAGGTAAAAAATTGCCACTAGGTGGCAGTGCCTGTATAGATGGGAAAAAAATTCTTATAATACAGTATACCTGAGATGGGGTGGCAAAATAGGGGCATCGGTGTGACGTTCTTAATAGAGTGCCTCTTGAGTTAATAAACTGAATAATTTGTAGAAAAGTGAGGAAGCAAAATTTGGTTTTGGTCCTGAAATTTTCCTATGGCACTTTTTGTTTTTAATCCTGATAATAGTTTCTAACTTTCTATACTGTCAGATAAATTCTGACGTATAAGTTCATAAGACATATTCTGATAGTTCTGCAGTTTTAACTAAGGATTTACTGTACCAGTGCTTTACTCTTAGGAGCTGTGGAACCTTTTCCCCAGCACTCTCCGTGTCACCTAGAAAGACTGTGTAGCGCATAGAATTATGATGTGCTGGATCTGGCTTAGTTTAGTAAAAGCCTGCTGGAGAATTTTTATCTTAAAAATACCTCTTATCGGGCTTCCCTGGTGGCGCAGTGGTTGAGAGTCCACCTGCTGATGCAGGGGATATGGGTTCGTGCCCCGGTCTGGGAAGATCCCACATGCCACGGAGCGGCTGGGCCCGTGAGCCGTGGACGTTGAGCCTGCGCGTCCGGAGGCTGTGCTCCACAACGGTAGAGGCCACAACAGTGAGAGGCCCGCGTACCGCTAAAAAAACAAAAAAAAAATGCCTCTCATCCAACACCAGTAAAATAAAAGGGGTTTTGCTGTAATTGGGATTCAAAGTGATTTAATTCCTGTTTTTACACCCCTTGTGATAAGTTAGAAGTTCATTTATAACTTAATACTTGGGTTGAAATTATTCTTAGCCAGTAAAAATCTACTGGTTGACCTATATGGTATATTATTCTAACTTGGATAGAATAATTTGAAGCAAGTTTGAAGTTAACAAATGTGGAGATTGGCTTTATACCCAAAATTCTTATGAAAGGTCTTACTAAGTTTTTTCTTTTTTTGGTCACACCGCATGGCTGTGGGATCTTAGTTCCCTGACCAGGGATTGAACCCACACCCTCAGCAGTGAAAGCACAGAGTCCTAACAGCTGGACCGCCAGAGAATTCCCAAAAGGTCTTGCTTATTGAGTATCATTAAGTTTTGCTTTGTAAAATTTATATTTTCCTTAGACTTCTTTATAAGAACCGTGTGATTAAGTATATCATCTTTATTACATTATTTCATGTTAACCATTAATTTCCCATGCGTGTAAATGCACATTTTTGTAGTTACTGATCAAATGCTTGTAAGGGCTGTAAGGGGTTATCTCCCACACCTCCTTGGACTCCCAAGTAGGGGGATTCATTGAAGATTGGGAGGGTCTTTTGGGTGGTTGGTTTGATTTTCATGGAGGTGGTTACAGATGAACTTCTCATTGGCCTTCATGAGTTTTCATTGCATTTCTTTGACCTTTCCTTCTTAACTGATCCTGAATTTGGATTCATTTCCAAGTTTTTTTAACTTAAAAAATCACACACACTTTTTCATAAAGCTTTAAAGCTAAAAAAAATCACCCCTAAAAGAGCACTGGACTGGAACACAAAATACTTGGGTTCTAGGCCTGGTTCTGCCATCAACTTGCAGTATGAGTTTGGGCGAGTCCTTTAATCTCTTCAGGCCTGGGTTCCTCATTTGCAGGGAGTGGGGTGGTCTCAGAGGTGGCGAAGGCCCCTTGAAGCCCTGCCATCTACCTGGTGACCCTTGCTGCACACTGCGGATGAAGATGAAGTGGCAGATCTTAAAGTGGGAAGCCAGGCACAGGGCTTCTAGTTTTCATTTCCCTTGGCTGAGGTTTCAGTGTGTGGCTGGCTGCCACCCAGGTTACCCTTTGGAATGGTATGTTCTCTGCCAAGGAAATCGTTCCAGAAAAGAAAGGAAAATGAGAGTGCATGGAAATTTTTCTTAAGGCTAGAACTGTGAAATGTATTTATCTAGTATATTTACCATGGCACATGATTTGTATATAAAACTAGATGTTCCCACGGCCAAGCAATGTTGGTATTTGATTTTAATTTGCAGGTTCTTTTAAATGCGTTTGAGAAGCTTTAACCTTAGTACGGAACATATCTAAAACCCAAGGAGAAATATCTCCAGTAGCTAATCATTTTCTCCATTAACAAGAGGAAAAAAGTCTGGGTTGTAAATTAAATCTTTTGATAAATCTATTTCTGTTAGGTATCATTCAGTGCAGCTTACCTGCCAACATTTTTTTTTTTGCGGTACGCGGACCTCTCACTGTTGTGGCCTCTCCCGTTGCGCAGCACAGGCTCTGAACGCGCAGGCTCAGCGGCCACGGCTCACGGGCCCAGCGGCTCCGCGGCATGTGGGATCTTCCCGGACCGGGGCACGAACCCGTGTCCCCTGCATTGGCAGGCAGACTCTCAACCACTGCGCCACCAGGGAAGCCCCCAACATTATTTTTATTTAAGTGATTCTTACTGCCTGTTTTATGAAGATGGGTGTGTGTGTGTATATATCTCCTATAATGATATATATATAGCCTTATAATGATAGATCAGATAAAAACTAATTGTGAGATTAAATGCACAAATGCTTTTATTACTCTAAGCAAATAAACTGCAGTTCCAATTAGACAACTTCAGCTCATTTATGCATACTGGATTGATAGAATGCACAATGAACAACTGAAAAATGATCCATTTCCATCATTAATCTGATACTCTTGGGTAAAAAACGCACTGTTTCCCTATTAGAATACAGGTAATAGTAATCAAAAAGAAAATTTGTTGGTACGTCACACTAACATTTTAAGTTTGAGAACTTAATCATGAAATACATATCTGGAAATGATGGCAGAAAATAGCATTTTAAGCTGATAGTACATTTCTTCTGTAAGTCTCAGTGGTTTCTACATGGGGTCCTGTTGGCCAGAAAATTAAATTAGAATTTCGTACATGCTCAGGTGTCCAAATAGAGATAGAGGACCCTCCCCCCTCTACATACACCTTAAAAGTGGGGAAAAAAGTTTTCTCCCTCCTTACAGGTACACGCAGTATACTGTCAGTTTTTCTCAAGTCATATATTCATGAGAATAGGTAGCCAAGTAGTGGCAGGGCGGGATATACCTCAGCTTCTGCGTGCCACAAGGCTAGGCCCCATTAATCCATGCAAAGAACTTTCATGCATATAGTTTAATGCACACAGTGTGATTATGGAATTAGGAAGTTCTTTAACATTTACTTTTCTTTGGGCAAGTTGCTTCACCCAGCATATGCTGAGAAGTGACAGCATTTTTCTCAAAGCCCATGATTCACTTTCATGTTAATAACTTCTCAAAAACACCAAGCATGTAAAATCCCAGTGCTAATTAAACAGCAAACATTTGCCTTTCTGGGTATTTTACAGATTTACTTACAAAACTGAGCATGTGTATATTTATTTTTAAAGCTCAAATATTTAAACTTGCAGAAGCTGTGCCTACAAGCAGTCAAAAGTATAAAGCAGGTTTTAGGAAAATGTAGGTAAAAATGAACACTTCATTGCAGATACATTTTATTCAAAGCTAGGCTTCCATAGTAGTGTAATTCTCCCTTTCATAAGTTAACCAGACTGTCTCTGGTTAAAGACTAGGGTCTTCATCCTTTTACCATCTCTCCATGTAAATGGACATAACATTAGAATCCTAATAGAACACCTTGGAGGAATTGCTATACAGGGCCATTTTTGAGGCCAAGCAACACTAAATATTTAAAAGGTAACGAAAGCAAATACCTAGGCATTTCACTTCTGTTGAATGACAAGTGAAAACAACTCTTGCTAACATGAATGTGAAAATAGAAAAAAAAATGTAAAATTGTTTCAGCTGATTTTTCAAGCAAGACTTCGGAGTGAACAGAGCCTACTCTTTCTGATGCAATCCACATTGCATCTGTGGATGTTGTTCATTTGAAAAAATATATCTGTACAACCTTCTTTAAGTTACTAAATGCCTGAAGGTAATATGTCTTTCCCCCGCCACATGCTTTCCTTTGCATAAACATGAGATGTACAGAGCAATGTAAGAACAGGTGACTGCAGTCCCAGATAAGAAAATAGAATGGATTTTCCTGGTTGTGAGTTTTCAGATGTGTTCATAATTCAGGTGCACAGTGGTAGCGACAGCAGAAACCTCAGAATCCGGGGACATTAGAGGTTGAGCAGTGGGCTGCTAAGTGATTCAGAACACCGGCTAGTAACACCGTTCTGTACCTGTATAGACTGCTGCTTTACCCATGCAGCTTCTGCGGCTCATGCACTGCCTTATGATCTATAGTCCTTTTTGCTGTAGGGCTTGTTGCGCAATATGTTATCGATCTCATTTACCACATGTGATGTCATCTTTGGGAGAACCTGAGAGCATGAGAGGAACAAAGAATGTGGTTAGTACTTGGTACTTGTTCTTTGTGCTCAATATTAAGCAAAGTCATCTAGAATTGGATACATTTATAAACCACCACCAGAATGCTACCTCCCCAGCAGACAGGAAGCTCCCTAAGGTCAGGGGCCTTGTTTTGTTCACACTTTATCTCCAGAGCCCGTAAGAGTACTTGGCCCATAGTAGGTGCTCATAATTATTGGTTGACTGAGTAAATGAAGGCTCATAGAAATATAGAATATCTAGAGCAGCTCTGTCCAATAGAAATGAGAGCCATATATGTAAATTTAGATTTTCTAGTGGCCACAGTAATGAAAGTGGAAAGCAGGTGAAATTAATACATGTTTTACTCCATTATATTCGAAATATCATTTGAACAGGTAGTCAGTATAGAATATTATTAGATGCTTTACATGTTTTTAAGTACTAAATCTTTGAAATCCAGGGTGCATTGTACACTTGGAGCGCATCTCCATTTGGATTAGCTTCAATAGCCACAGGTGGCCAGAGGCTACAGTAGTGGAGAGCACAGGTCTAGAGACTAAGGAGAGATTCAGTCCAGCTGATGGACAGAATCCTGGTGAAGGATGGCCACAGGTTAACAGGCATCCCGGGTAGATGGAACAGCATGAAGAAGTGAAAAGTCTGTGAAACGGGGTGATACAAGTGTAGAGTGAGTGGGGGAGGGGTGGGGATGGTGGGAATAGAGGAAAGGGAAGTTGAGGTAAACAGCGGAAGGCCTTGAATGCCATTTTTGGAGTTGGGACTTTATGCTGTAGGTGGTGGGGAACTTCTCAGGACTTCTTAGCTGGGAGTGACCCCATCAGACACATGGAGGTATTCTGAAGGAAGAGTTGGAAGGAGATTGAAAGGGGACACATGTTAGAAATTTGTTGCAGTCCTAGCCAGACACTGAGAGCCTTAACTGGACAGTGGCGGTGGAGGAGAAAAGGAGAGTGCCTCTGCGGGACATTCTGGAGGCTGATGGTGATCTCACGACTGGGTGACTAGGAAGATGCTGGCGTAGGTAATTAATTGTTGAGAGACCACAGGAGGAGAAGTTTGGAGCCTAAGTTTGGGGTAGGATATGCTGAGGTGAAGGTGCCTTTGGGATCCCACGTAGAAGTGACTTGCAGGCAGCCAGAAGGGCAGCTGTGGAGCTTAGTGGCAGTGGAAGGACTGGAGTTGAGAATTTGCAAGTCATTTGCAGGGTCATGCTCAATGAAGCCCTGGGGAAGGATGAGATCATCTAGGGCCAGCTAGCATTTATTGCAAGAAGTGGGCCAAGGGCACACATTACACCATAAGACAAGGGACAGAGGCAGGCTTCTTGCAGGAATAGTCTGAGCCTGTGTGGAGTCTGTGGTGAAATACATTCATGATGACTGATTCTGAGGTTTCCACCTCACCCTTCCTCTGCTGCAGTCATGTTGGCCAGCGTGACCTTGTCTCCACTCACATGCTCTCCCCAGAAGCCTCAGGGTTTGGCAGGGTGGTAGAGCTCCTTCCTCACTGGTCTGGTAACATTTTCCTCTCTGAATGAAGCTAAAGCACATTTGGTTTCCCACTAGCCTTGGAGCATCAGAGGATCTCAGTTACTGTGCGATTTAAATGTGAGACTGCAACACTGAGACTCAAATCTAGAAGCTGGTTGGAAGTTTTGTGTCTAGAATACAGTGGGCTAGCCATGTGAGGAAAAAAACTCTTCATTCACTACACCAATAAGAAAAGAGATCTAAACATTAGTAAAATGAAACCATAAAAGTACTTGAATAAAACATGAAAAAATAATAGTGTTATAAGACCTAAATGTTCAAGAGAAGCCATACATTAAGAATTTTATGGGAAGTTGCCCAATTTTTTAATGTTGGCAACTGTTTTAAAACATTTTCGTCCCTGCAGGTCACACAAACATCCCATGAGCTAGCAAATTGCACGCGTAGGAGTATCCTGACTGCAGTAGTTGGCGGGTGAGGGGAGGTCTGGCTAGCGTTGCCGGCTGGAGGCATTAGGGGAGCTCTCCCAGGACTGGGTCACTGTCAAGATGGACCTTGGGGATGGAGCCGGATTTGGCCAGCCTGGGGTGGTGGACACTTTGCAGGAGGAGGGCCACTATTCTGGGGATTAGGATCCCAGGGAAGGGAGGGGAGGGGAGATGAGCCGTGGACGGGAAGGCCCGACTGCTGAGGAGCCTGGACTTCTCTGAGTGGATGGTGGGGAGCCTCGAGGTGCTTTAAGGCTGGAGGGTGGGGACCTGTGCAGGTGATGGGCTGCCTGCAGCTGTGGCTCCTCTCCAGCCTCTCATCTCTTGAGGCTCTGATTTATAAATGCCTCTCCAGTTTATGCTCACGTTAGGCACATTCACTTCTTGGAGCAGCTGCCTTCCTGTGCCCATTAGAAACTTCTTTTCCTTATAGATGCTGGCACTGCACTCTTTCTATCCAGTCCCACCAACTGCTGCAGGGAGCCCCCAGCCACACAATCTACTCTCACCACATCAAGGGGCCCGGTTACAGCCTGCCAAGGGTGGAATCTGTGGCGCTGGGCTCACGGGAGGTGGAGTAGAAAGGGAAAAGGGAAGGTAAACCCTCCTGGTAGCAGCCTCCCTGCTTGGACAACATCCCTTTTCTCTTACCCTTTGCGCATGGAAGCCCCATCGTGCCACCAGCCAGAGCCTTGCTAGGGAGGAAGTGCTTTGGCAAGATGACTGCCTCAGTTTTCCTCTGAAATGTTATCTTTGGCTACCTGGAGTATTGCCACAGCCCAGGAACTACCTTTTCTCTTTTTTACCGTCCCAGGCAGTGTGAGTCCCCCCTTGGAATGGCAGCCATCACTCTATTAGCTGACAGGAATCCTTTTTCTTGCCAAGCCATCTGCAAGTCATGCCTCTCTTTCCAAAACCTGCGGACTCCTTGACCTTCATGGCCACCATCCTTGCTAGTCCAAGCCACCATCACCCGTCACCCGGACAACCTGTCCTTGCCTTTCTTCATTCTGCTTTTCACACAACAGCCAAAGCAATCTTCCTCCTCTTAAAACCCTCCAAAGGATTTGCTGTGAGTAGAACAAAATTCTGACTTCTCTAGTGTTCCGTGTGACCTGTCCCCTGCCCGCGCCCACCGTCCTTTATGCTCACTGCATGTTGACCACATTCGCCTTAGGCTGGTGCTTCCTGGAAAAAGCCAAGTGCGTCTGCGTCTCAGGGCCTTTGTACTGCTCTTCTGTGTGTCTGCTCCTTCCAGGGCTTTTCACGTGCTGCATCCTCCACTTGAAGGCTTCAGAATAAGCATATCCCAGAGGAGCTTTTGGCAAGGACATTATCTAAAGTGGGCTCACTCATTTCCCAGTTAGTCTCTATTACAATACCATCTTTAGTTACTTAGTAAACCTTCTCACTTGAAATTATTTTATATGTTTCTTTATCATGTGCCTCTGCCACTGGAATATAAGCTCCTTGAAGGTTGGGTAATATCTTTCTGGTTTCCTGTGGTGTCCCCAGTGCTGAGTACAGAGTAAGCTCTCAGAGATCTCCTGAATGAACCACGGGATAGAAGAGTGAGTCTTAATTCCCTCTTTCTCAGGCAGCCCGTGAGCTCTTGAGGGCACCGTCCTGTGCTTATCTCGGAACACTCTCTGCCTAGCATGGTGCCAGACGCAGAATAAGCACTCAATGAGTATTAGTGGAATTGAAATCACTGGGTTGCATTTCAGTGCTTTTGTGTATAGACTGTTCCCGTTTCCTCCTCGTCATTGCGGAGCCTTTATCTGTTCCCAGAGCACAAGTGAAAATAAGAAAAGGTGGGGAGGCTTTCTTAAGAGGGAGCAGGGACAGGGAACCCCACAATCTGGGAGGAATTCTCAGAAGCTGAGAGGCAGAGATGATCACCCAGCTGCACAGCCCTAAGAAAGGTGACGGTAGAGAAGGAGGTCTGCACCGTTTATCTGCCAGCATATTCGAGGCTATTCTTCAAAAGGATTTTTTAAAGTTTTAAGTTGAATCAAGCTTGTCCCCACCTCCATCTACATCCTTCTGGGAGAGGTAACAGGGCTAAGTGCTGGTTTCGGGGACAGATGGACAGGGGAGAAGCTGTGAGGCACTTCTGTTTGGGCAGGTGATACAGCTACGGCAAGAGCCGTGGAGGGGCTCGTTCCTGCAGCCTCTGGCTGGGCTGAGAGTGGGGCAGGCTCAGGACCGAGATGTGACCTTTGGGGGCAGGGGATGGTCACCACAGCCACCAACCTCCACCCTCTCCTCAGAACTCCCAGGAACATCTCTCTCCCACTTCCCCTCCTGCTGCCTTACAGGCTCCCCAGGTACAGCTGCAGGCTCCCTCCAGGCCTAGCAATCCCTGCAGGGGAGGGAATGGGGGTGGGCGCTCCTGAAATTGCTGTTAGGGAGATGTGATCCTGGAATTCTGAGCCTATTTGTCTTAAAAGTGTCAAACATTCATTCATTCAATAGGTATTTCTTGAGTGTTGACTAAGGGCAATAGAGTCTAGGAACTGGAAAATCAGTGGAGAAGCAAGAAAGACACAAGTCTCTGACCTCAGGGGAGACAGGCGATTATACTATGTTATCGTAAGTGCTGTGATGGGGAGAGAGATCCAGGATGCTAGGAGAGCAGAAAAGAGGGGCCTGGCACACTGTAGACTGGCAATAAATATTTGTGGGGAAAAAAGTAAATACATGATGTGTGGATATTGTCCTACGGCTACTACATTTCAAGCTGGTTATTAGGCAGGCTTGTGTGGTTCGACCTGGGAACCCAGTCGTCAGGTGTAACATTGCTTGGGTCATAGAATACACTGTCCCACAGACACAAGCCATCCTGAGAAATGAGCCCGGAGGAGACTGCCTGTTAATCAGCAGAGGACATCCCTGGATCCACATACTGTGAAAGTTCTGTTGCTTCTTTTGCCTTTGTCCCCATTTCCCTTCTTCCCCTATCTAGGAACAGGTAGCCTATTCCCTATATTAGGGGCTTTCATGCAACTCAGCTGTGACACAATGAAGGACAGAGGTGGGGAGATGGGACACTGCCTGGGGGCATCTTCAAAGGCACCAGGAAATTCCCTGGAGTTGGTTGGAAAGGGCTGCAGTACTTGCCTGAATGGCACCGAGGTTTTCAATGAGTTGTTCAGGAGTGGATGATCCCAGGAGCACGGAACTCACACCCTCGTTTCTCAGGCACCACGCTGGGAAGAGAGAGCAGTCGGTCAGGAAGTCAAGGCACTTCTGACTGTTGATGAGTTTGCACACACCATTTGTAGCTTCCGTTGTCACAACCAAAACATATTAATTTGGGGGGAGGATGGACAGCATGCTCCAGGATTAAAAACGTCAGCAGCAACCCCTGTTGTGTGGAGGACTCGGTAGAATCCGTGCACGTGAACTGTGGGCTTAGGGCTCCTCTGCCCGACAACTGGGGCATCCAGTCTAGGTGCCCAGCCCAGGAACACTGTCTTGTTCCTGAAGACACCTGACACTGCTCCTGGGCGAACGTCTGGATTCCTGTTTGCATCTGTCTTTTCCATCTCATTCATGCTCTCACTTTCCCCTCATCTGTTACATAGAGTCCGTGTAGATTCTGGGTACCTGGGTCCTCTGTCTCCACTGACCTGTCAGCCCTCTCTGGACCTGCCTTTCTTCCTGATGCGAGGTTCATTCTGGGGAGACCGTCTCTCTCACCAGCCCTCAAACCCCTCACCCCTCCTCTGCCTCTAGCAACCTCTACCCTTAAACCCTCTTCAACCCAGGCCTCCTCCCTCTCAGCAGATGGCCTAGCTGCCTACTTTACGTAGAAAATTGAGTCCCTCAGGTAGCATATTCCTTAATTTCCCACTCACCTACGGACACAAGTACACACACTCATACTCCAGTTTCAGAGGCTATGGGGTGCTGTCTGTTCAAAGCCAAACTCTGCCCTGGTCCCATTCCTTTTGCCTTTTCTTGGATTTGATTCATCCATTATTTCTCCCCCTCTCTTGCTCTCCTGGATGTTTGATTTCTTACTGTCCTCTTTCTCTTTATCAAGAAGGCATAATCAAATTTCTCCCATTCTAAAATAAGCCTCCTCAGGCCCTTCATACCTGTGTAGCTGCCACCCTACCCTTCTCCTCTTAAACTTGTAAAAGGCCCGATGAGACTCCCTGCATCCCCCTCACATCCCAGTCCCCTTCTCACCATGTCAGAAGCCAGGGTGCCCAGGAAACTCCCTGTGGTTCAAGTAGACTTTGCAATTTGTACCTGCCTGGAACTAGATATTGCTCTAGGCCCAGGGATGCAGTGTCTGCTGGATGTCCCTGCTAGACACCCCACAGCCACTGTGAACTTCTTGCTACTTAACTAATAAGCCTGTCCCTCTTGGGTTACCAATCTCATTTGGTGGCATCACCAGTAACTTGGCCTCCCAAACCAGAAACCTGGGAGTTATCCTTGGGCACTGTCCTTTTCTGATCCCTCATTCCCTTTTAATTGTCATCTAGTTGATTGTCCTTCTTAAATATTTCTCTAATCCAGTAGTTCTCAAATTTTAGCATGCCTCAGTCACCTGGAGGGCCTGTGAAACATTGATTACTCAGTGCTTCACCTTGCGTTTCTGACCCAGAACGTCTGGAGTGGGGCCTGAGGATCTGCATTTCTGACAAGTTCCCAGGTGATGCTGATGCTGCCGGTATAGGTACTCTTTTTTTTTAAACAACTTTATTGAGGTAAAATGTACCCATTTTAGGTGTACAATTCAATAATTTTTCATACATTTATCATGTGTGCAATCATCACCATTTAAAATCCAGTTTTAGAACATTCCCATCATCCCAATAAGATCCTTCATACCCATTCACAGTTAATCCCATTTCTACCCCCAACCCAAGGAAACCACTCATCTACTTTGTGCCCCTATGGATTTATTATTTCTGGACATTTCACCTAAATGGAATCATGGAGTACGTCTTTTGTGTCTGACTTCTTTCACTTAGCATAATGTCTGTGCGGTTCATCCATGTTATAGCATGGGTCAGTATATCATTTCTTTTATTGCGGAATAGTATTCCAGTGTGTGGATATGGGAACACACTTGGAGAATCACTGCTCTGGTTCAATTGTCCACTCCCTCAGGCCCTCACCGTCTCTCCTGCACAACTGGTTTTCCTACATCTTGTTTGGATTGTCCCTGCCTACCCCGCACACATCCAGCAGTAGCTTCTCCAGATACAAATCTGTTCAAGTCACTTGCCTGCTAAACATTCTTCAACGTGTGCCTGACGGGATCCTGGTCCTGTGAGGTGAAGCTCTCACTTCTCAAACCTTACTAGAAAGCCCTCCACTCCAGCTTCCGGTCTCCTCACTCCCTGCCTTGAACTTAGTGCTCCAACAGCACCATTTGTAAATCCTCTCCAACCCCAAATATCATGCTGTGTTTCTCCTCCCCAAGCCCTTGGCTCAAGCGGTCCCCTGGGTCTGGAATGTCCCTTTGCCTCCTCCCTTCCTTTGCCTCACTAATATCTACTCATCATCTGGGATTCCTCGTGGGCACCGCCTTCTCCTAAAGTCCTTCCCTGAGTCCCAGGCCGGGTTGGGAGCTCCTACATTTTACTTCCAAACCCACCACCCACCCCTGCCTCCGGCCCACCCTGCCCTTCTCAATTATTTTACTCTCACACTATATTAAAATTATCTGTTAATTTCTTGACTTGCCCACCAGACTGTGAGGTGTGTGTTATTTGCAGTTGGATGCTCAGCACCCGGCCCAGCACCTGCACATAGTAGGTGCTCATTAGATGTTTGTTGAATAAACGGAGACGTGGATGATTGATGGACATCCCTGAACACCTCTTCTTCTGCCCCCATTTGGTCAGGCCATGCTGTCAACTGCTACTGTTAAGCTGTTACCACACTCAGACCTTTTAAGGCAATCACTAAATCCTTCCACGTGGGAAAAATAATGCTCTATGAAGGCAAGAAGCCAAGTGATCCTGGGCTTTTTCTTTCTATTTTCTTTTTTTGGCTGCCTTATTTCCTACTTTGCACTTAGAACTCTTTTTTGGCACTAGTGGAAGTTCTGAGGGCAAAGCAGGGCACTGAGAGAATTATTGCCCATAAACTACCTGATGCCAGCAACACATGATTCCCCCATGGGCTGCTGGGCCACGTAGGAGAACCCACTGGGTAGAGCTGGCCAAGGCCAGAGGTAACGTAGATGATTCCAGGTATTTAGCATCTACTCAAGGGTCCCCCACAGGCACATCCAGAGTGTCTATGAGCAAGGTGTGAATGCTGGCTCCTGTGCAGGCGTGAGACACGGGCACCAGCCCACAGTTGGGTTGAAGTAGTTTGTTTCCTGCCCGAGGATCTCCCCTCCCCCGACACGCTTCTAGCAGATCAAAGGTAATATGCCTGGAAATAATTTCCCTCTTGGTTTGAGAGTTCTGTGGTTAAAAACAAAACTACCTGTTTACAAAGAAAAGAAAAAAATGACAGGCGAGAAAGACATCTGGGGGCACAGAGGGAGGAAAAGGAGAAACAAAGCACGTTTTAATTTAAACTCAGACTCTGTAAAGAGTCATGTACATCTGACATCCAGTGAAAGTCTAAATGTTGTAAAGATTTTCTCTTTAGAAAGACAGTGTTCTTCTATCTCTTTCAGAGCTAGATTCAATACTTGCTTTCTTGTTACCACCTAAAGATTGTATTTATGGCTATGGTTTAAGAATAGGTGTTTCTCTTTGTGCTTGTGCCTCTGACCATATATGACAGCTAGGAGTGGACAGAGTTTCAGCAGAGGGTGTCTAATTCTTTGCAAAAACATCATCTTCATCCTTATCTTCACCAGTTACTGAGCACCTACTCTTTTCTTTACATACATAATTTCCTTTTGCTCAACAAGTTTGTAAGATATATACTACTATACCCATTTTACAGATGAGAAAATTGATAATCAGGTTAAATAACTTGCTAATGGTCGATAGCTAATACCTTTTACTGGGCTCATTAAAGCCATAGTAGCAGCCATGCTAACTAATCACATTAAATATAATCTTTGTTTTTTTGTTTTTTGGAAGAAAGGATTACAGCAATAGTTACACATATACTTAGGTAACTGGTATTTCCCTCCTAAAACCGTCTCCCATTTCCATCTTTCTGTGACTATTAACTGCAGCTACCATTTTCCTGCCTTCCAGCCTCAGAAGAGTCAAGCATCTAACAAATATCCTTTTATTTTATTTGCACAGAACTTATCTTGAGCTTTTTATCTCATTGGCTCACTGTATCTGATTTGTCCCAATTCCTGCTATTTTTTAATCCTTAGGAGTTTTTCTAGACTCTATACCCATTTTATTCTTTTCTCATAGCTACCACATGAATTCTTTTCTCTTCAGCCTCTTCTTCATTTGTAAAGTGAAGATAATAGTAGCAAAACTCCATTAACATCTGTAAGATAGGGCTACGATTAGTATACACCTCGATTAGTATACACCTCGCGGGACCCACGATTAAGGAGACAAGATGAGCATTAAAGAGCTCATCACAGAGCCTGGCAGATACTCTCCAGCAAGGGAACTGAAAGTTTAAATGCTTTTCTGTCTAATCCCTAGTCTCTAGCCACTTGTGGCTATTGAACCCAGGAGTGTGTTTAGCCTGAATTGACATGTGCTGTAGGTGTAAAATACACTCTGGATTTTGAAGACTTAGTATGAAAAATAGAGTGTGACATATCTCAGTAACTTTTTATATTTATTACATGTTAAAAATGATAATATGTTGGCTATATTGGGTTAAATAAAATCCATTTAAAAATTAATTTCACCTATTTCCATTTTACTATTTTAATATGGCCACTGGAAATTTAAAGATTAAACGCATGGTGCACGTTATATTTCTACAGGACGGTTCTGGTGCAATGTGGCTTTCAATTGTTACCCGTGACTGTGACCTTTCATTGACTCCACTATGTCGGAAGAGCCACTTTCGTGGCTCTGGAAGTTTCGCGGTGACGCTGCTCCCATGGGATAGGCCTTCCATGTGGCAGTAGCCTTGGCCACGCTCGCAGCCCTGCTCCTCAGCCTCTCACCAAACCCGCCTTACCTTCGACGGGGATGGAAAATTGAACCAGAAGCAACGGATGTCACTACACAGATCAGGGGTGCTCACCCTTGACACTGTGAGGATGTGTGCGTTTTCACTGACGTGTTCTTGTTTAAACTGTGTTATAAGGGAAAGGAGAAGGAAGTAAGAAAAGTGTTTCAGCATGTGGAACTACTCTAGGGAACTCTGAAAAACCTATCTAATGCTATGTCTCATTTTAGATAGCATGAACCAGGAGTCTATGCTTCAGAGATCATCTGCCCCTGCAATAGGTATGTTATTATGCAAGAGATGTGGATCAGCAATAGAGAATGATTTCATTTTCCGTGATCCAGCAAGGCTTCCCCTCCCAAGTGACTTTCTCACCCACGGCTAGCTGAGGTAGCGTGCATCCCAGACGCTCCGCAATCGGGGAAAGGTCTTTCAGCTTGTTTTGCTGTTTTCTCCCTTCTTCACTCACAATCCTTTCCTTCAACCACTGGTAGCACTAGAGATAAGAAGAACATTTAAATATTAATGTCTGGTAAGGGTTTGATGCAGATTGTTAATTCAATAAAATGTAAGAGCCTCGTGGTGAATTCCTCAATCTTCTTGGCTCTGACCTTTCTGTTTGATGGTGACAAGGATGCCTATGTCTTCATGCAAGGAAATGTTCCCCACCGTCTCCTTCTTTGTTTACTGATTCAAGACAGATTGATTTTGACTAAAACTCACCATTCAGATCCATCGACACACACAAAAGTTGTTAAAATCCTAACATATAATCAATTAGATCCCATCTGGACATGATGTTTCATATTGCAATAGCCCTTAGAATGTAGGGGAAAAAAGGCATTTACATTTCACCAGGGTCTATTATGTTTCCTTGTTGTCAAGGAAGTTGGGTGCCAAGCTTTCTTCTCAAAGGAAGTCATTATCTTACATTTCCTGCTGTAACTATCCTTCTCCCTCTTGCCTTCAATTTACTCCTAGTCTCTTCAGTATTCTTATAATAGTGTTTTATTGTTAGCTTTCTCTGCTCCTCCTAGAAGCAGATGTGAATGGTATAATTGATAGGTACTGAGTACATTTTAAAGTCACACCACGAGGCATTTGGAACTTCCCCGACCAGGGATGGAACCTGTGCCCCCTGCAGTGGAAGCGCAGAGTCTTAACCACTGGACCACCAGAGAAGTCCCATTTTAAAGTTTTAAAGTGGATAAACACTTTCCCAAACGTGTATTACCTTTTGTATAACGTTTGAAACTTAAAAAGGCAAGGGAACTTAAAAAGGTAAATGAGAAACTAATCTTTAAAACCTCTGAGAAGAGACTGACCCTGATGTAGACTATGAAGTGAGCCTGATTTCCTAAATATAAGAAAAAGAATATTTTAGAATTTCTCAATGCCCTATTTTTCAGAAGGTTCTGCTCTTACTATGAAACAAGGAACAATAGACCCTTACGTACAAAGCTAGCACTATGCAGCAACACCCAAAGGAAAAGAATATTTGTAAGAATCGGTTAGTCTGTTTTAGTGACAATAATAAAAACCATCTCCCTGTGTGGCAACGTAGACTTTCTCCATTGCATGCGTTCGTGACATAATTACCACCACAGACCTTTACCTTCCCAAAGGCAGTGGAAAGCTGGGCAATCATCACAAAATCTCCACCCATATGATTTCAATGGGCTGCTGGCTTTTGTTTTTTTTAAGTATTTTTTCATCATTCTAAGACAGTATTTCCAAAGAAAAAAAACGCATTATGTTTTGTTATGATTTTTGGAATGATTTTGCAGATATGAAAAGAAAAAACAACAAGCAGCCCCAGTTCTGTTCTCCTCCTAGATCTCAGAGGCTTATGGTCTGGCTCCTCACATGAAGTTTGCTTAGAGAGATGGCCAAGAGTTTTCCCAGTCTCGGCTACGGAGACCTTAGCTTCCTCCAGGAGGAAGTGTGGCCTTCAGCATCTCTCCAGAGATGACGGCTGGTGCCAGTGGTGATGAGGTAGGTGGACAGTTAGGAGCAATGAGCACCGTGATGGGGGCCGAACAGCCTTCCCTGGCAGCATGCTGGGTACATCAGAGAGCCCCTGAACTTACTTCTACTGTCCTCAAGGGGGAAAACATCACCGATCCGCACTTTAGTTTCATAACATTTTTCAGAGGACGAGTATCTCTGAATGTTATTCAAATGAAGAAAAAAAAAAAAAAACCACGGTTGAAAACCAATAGCCAAGTGCTTCTTGAACAATTGCTTTTTATTAGAACTAGGAGAGTTCCTGAGGTTTCAACATATACCACACACATGAAGATTGACTGATTCATCAATCTTTAGGAAGATTTCTAAAAGTAACAAATACCAAACATTCATTTATTGAGTACCTTTCTTCCCACCCTCAACATAAATCTCACTCTAATCACTGGAAAACATAAGCAGGTTAGGGTTTTTTTTTTTTTTTTGCGGTACGCAGGCCTCTCACCATTGTGGCCTCTCCCGTTGCGGAGCACAGGCTCCAGACGTGCAGGCTCAGCAGCCATGGCTCACAGGCCCAGCCGCTCCACGGCATGTGGGATCTTCCCAGATCTTCCCGGACCGGGGCACGAACCCGCATCCCCTGCATCGGCAGGCGGACTCTCAACCACTGTGCCACCAGGGAAGCCCCCAGGTTAGGGTTTTTAAAAAGTAGATGCATAGTATTTCTACTGCTTTCCTCATACCAAAGGAAACAAATGTGTTTTGGAAATACATAACTTTAACTGCTTTACAAGTAGGAAAATGTTAGCATAGGGAGGAGATGAGGCTTAACTAAAATATTAATTAAATATGGAGGTGAAACAGTGTTTTTGGTAAGAAGGTTGGTGGTGGGTGTGGTTGTATGCAATAATAAACCCAACTTGTTGACTGTGGGCAGTAATCCACGAATCAGAAGATGAAATTTCATCTTCCATTCCACTTGCTTAATCCTATTCCTGCAGTGGTTTGATTACATGTTGATTGTTCTAAGTTAGTGGAAGGCAGAGATGGCTTCTCGTTCATCTCAACATCTCCAGTCTTGACACAGTGGTTGGCCCAGAGGGGCTCAGCCAATATGGTGGTGAGGAAGGGATCTGAGAAACCAGGGTTCCACAGGGTAAAGATAGATCTCTTCAATTTTTCAGATTGAGCACAGACACTTCCTCCTTAAAGAAGTACAACTCAGCTGGCAGCCCTGCGTGCTTCCACAGTGCTTGTGGATTCCACATAGTTTCATAATTCACCCCTTCTCATGTCTGTCTCTAGCAAGTCCCTGAGTTACATTGAGACTGTCCCTGTATCCTCAGCCCTCAGCACAGGGCCCGGCACTGAGTAGACACTCAGTAAATATTTGCCAAAGGAACAACTGAATGAGCTTTTCTCCACAGATTAGTGGGCTATTGCTTTATACATGTCACAAAATTCTTTAAATTTTCCAAAAGCTTTCTTTGCCATCTCCTATTGCTGTGACCATTATCTGTGTGACACCCATATTACAGGTAGCCAGAACAGGGTGGGACTAGTCTGTGAGTCAGCCCCAAATCCCCCAGTCGCCTGTTAGTTAATCGTAGATTAGAACTCAGGGAGCAACTGTAAAGCCATGGACAGAATCAGTCACATTTCATTACTGGGCCTTGTCTAGAATAATTTAGCATTCAAGATCACTGACTATTTCTATCTAAACATCGAAGTCTTTGGCTCAAAAGAGCAGCAAAGTCTTCACTATTGAGGTGAAAATCTCTAGGTAAAATGCTGGAGCTAAAAAATTTCCTTCTGAAATTGTACCATAATGGGCAATATCCTTAGTTTCTTAATATGAACACCTGGAGTACTTGGACTGCCCCTCTCCACCCACTTTGATCTACGTTAAGTTTGCATGTTTCCAGTTTACCTTTGACAGAAGGGTACGTATTTTTATGATTTTTCTATAAGGTATTTTCCCCACAGTAGGGAAGAGCTGTCCATAAATTTTATTGCACTTTTCATTTCTATTTAAAATTTCTATTTAAAAGCTGCTCACCTGGTCTCTTGATCAGACTTTGTTGATCCTCAGTTATGGCTCATTGCACCCATTCAAGAACCATTTATTGAGTACCTAGCATGTGCCAGGCTCTGTGATGAGTTAACATGAGTTTCAGTTTCTGTCCTATAGGTACTCACAAATCATTGTCTGGTAACTTGAGAAGTGTTGTTTTTAGTTGGATTGCCCCCTCAATGATTTCCTCAGAAGCCTTGTTTGTACTGCCTCTTTATGGGAAATAGGTCACCATAGGTGCATGACGTGAGCTGGTCACAGCACCTTATCCTTTGGGCCACTGTCATTGGTTTAATCAGGTTGGCACATGACCCAAGCTTGGCCAGTCTTCTCTGGACTGAAGCTGATAAAGAAAAAGTCTCTTTTCTCTCAGGTTACATGACTTTAAGGATGTAAGCCTGCGGTCACCAGCATTCCTGCTCCTGGCCTCGTGGAAAAGACCCACTTGTAGTAGAAAAAAATGACACTCACATGCAGGGAGAAATAGAGGAGATGGAGAGTCCTGACAATGTGCAAATCTATGGATGGAGTCACCCCTGAGGCCATCCCACTCCATCCTTCCCAGGGAGTGTCTGTCTATGCGTTCCCTTCTTTGATTAAATTAGGTTGAATTGCATTCTATTGCTTGCAGCCAGAGGATTCTAAGACTGTAAGAAGTGTTTATGGAATGACAGAAGAAAGTACCAATAACTGAGTTTTATAAAGTGAGGACAGGTTTCACAGAGTGAAGACAACCAAGATTTGTCTTTAGGGATGAGGAGAGCTTCCACAGCAGGATGTAAAGAAGGGCATTTTGGGGAGGCAAAAAAGAGTACAGTGCATTTGGGTGAAAAATGAAGTAATATGATTTGGGGAGAGACAAGAACAAAAAACAGGTTCAAGAGTATTTCCTTGAATGCTTTTTGTGGGTTTTAGGTTTTGTCCTATAATCAGTGATTGGGAAGTCATTAAAGGATTTTAAGCAGGGTTACGATATAGTCAGATTAATCTTTTAGAAAGATAATTGGTCACATAATTGAGATAGATAATAGAAAACTGGTGGGTAGCTGAAAAAGGGAGCGGGGGAATCAGAGAGTCCAGATGGGAGGTTAATGCAGCAAACCAAGTAAGCAGTGATGAAGATCTGAACAAGGGTGGTACAAGGAATGGACCACAGAGCGTCAGCATGTGGACTGGAGGAGTTAGTGCCCCGCTGAAGAAGACTGAGGGAGGAGAAGAGGCAGCTGAGATAATGCCTTGGCTTCTGACTGGGATGACCAGATGGATGGGTGGAGGCATTGTTAAATGAGAAGGAAGAGTAGATTCTGGGGAGTGAGGACAGATTCCATTAGGCATGACGGATGCCCATGGGACAGCCACGTGGACATGTCTGATAGGCACGAAGAAGTAGTGGTGTTTAGCTCAGCGGTGAGTCAGTGCTGATGACACTGATTTAGAAGTCTTTGTAACAGTGGTGGGCCAGATGCAGCCTCCCAGAAAACCCCCTGGGCAGTACTACTTTCTAAAAGATAGGTATTTTTTCACACTCAGTTAGTTTATCCTTCAAATCTAGTTCAATATTTATAGCAGAAACAAAGTATTAGCAACCTTATTTTATTGTAACTTAAAACAGCCAGTGTGAAATACCAACCATTTATTCTATTTTGGGGGAAGGTGAAAGTTGCCATCTTATTTATCTATTTGCCTAGGTCTTTATTTTTTAAAAAATGTTTTTACTATTAGAATTCTCATTCAATCTTAAGGTTGAAATATATATATATATATATATATATATATATATGTATGTATATAATTAGTAGTAGTAGTATTTTTTGCTTTAGTTACTCAAGTGGTTTTTCTAAGTGTACATATATTAGTCCAGAAAGCACTTGGACTGATGAATTAAGAAGCCTTGAGGGTTTGCGGAGCTCTAAAGAAGCGTGCTTTGTGACTGGCTGCCTTTCACCTGTTGAGAGTCCTTATTTATTGCTAAGGATGTTTCAACAGATGCTGAAAAGTCAACAACAGAAATATTTTTCGGGTTGCTTTTGGGCTTAGTCACCTTCAAATATTTTGCATCTCCTTTTCTTTTCCTCCTTTCGTTAGTGCATTTTTAAAAGCTTTTCAGCTGTTTGTAAGCTTTTCTCAAATAGTGATGGAGATCAGCCAATCATATACTTCAAATACAGTGTAGTAGCTACTTCTTCCTCTTTTAAAAACCTGAATTTGAAGGGAAACAAAAATGCCTTTAGGGAGATGCACTGAGAGCCAGGAGACCTGGGTTCTACTTTTAACTTTTTCTATTATGAGTTTATGCTGTTGGATTGATATCTAATCTCTTTGTGCTCAGTTTCTGCATCTGGAAAAGGTTTACCCTCTTATAAGGATAGTCTGGAACAAACACCTGGTATATATGGAAGCACTTTGAGTTTTTCAGAAAGTCTCTGAAAGAATGTAAGACAACATGCTTGGCTACAACTGGCTAAAAGCCATCTGTATCCATTTATCTTTGTGAGGAAAAAAGGAGATGAATAAAAACACTTAGCCCGGTGCTTGGCACATAGTAGGTGCTCAGCAAAATCACAATTTTCAATGCTTCTCTTTCTTCACTCTTTTCTTGCCATCCACCTTTTATCCCTTCTTTCCTGAGATGCTTTTCGTTTTTCTTTGCTGACTTATTCAAAACCTTCCCTTTTTCAGAAACAAGACCCTATATAATATTCTAGGATAATTAGTATAATAATGCAAAACTAGAAGCAGGACCATGTCACCACGTTTTAGGAAATATTTATGTTGTATTATCTTAGAGAACAAACAAGCTAATAGGTCAACTGATACAGCAGAGAGAAAAGTGATAGACCTAGAGTCTGGAGAAGGTCCTGATTAGGGAAGCACACGGTGGTTCCAGCCACACTGATTAAAAGGTCGCTGGTTTGGGCTTAACTTGAGTTGTCCTTGTGCTGACTTTGTGCTGATGGAGACAAGAGGCTGTGTCAGACTTCTGCTTCCTCTTTGGGGCCTTTGGCATGTGTGAATTTTGAAAATGCCTATGTTCTCTCCCTAGACATTACAGAGTAATTTGTGATTCTAATGTTATTACACATTCTCTCAAGTTTTAAAAAACAGACATGTTGTTATTAACAAGGAGGGATTTTGGAGTACCCTCCAAGTAAATTAATCATCAAGATCTTCTGAATGGAGGTAACTTTATGTCAATGATCTTAAATATCCTTATGCTTCAGAGAAGAAATTAAGCTGCAAGACTGAGCAGCCGGAGTTGATCTCTGCAAATGCCAGCCCTGAGCCCCCGTGACAGAGGCTTGGCTCTGTATCTGCTTCCCAAACCCTCCCTCCTTACTCCCCATCCTCACATATTAAAAAATGTCAACCGAACTCAAACCTATTCAACTACAACCGGTTTGCCACATGTGGATTCAACCTCTATGGCTTAAATTTTGTTTTGTCAAGAAAAGTAAAATTAGATCCTCTTACATAGAAAAGGGATTTTACGTTTCCTAAGTTTCGAAGGAGGAATGAAATGCCTTCTTGAATATAAGAATTAGTGTAGGAATTCGAGTCTACGAATCCAACCAGGTCATTGGGCATCTCCCCTGGTCCCCAGAGGAGGAGAACTTTCTGCACTGATGCCTGACCAGAAGTAGAGACCTCCAGAGGGCTTGGGGAGCTGGCCAGGGAACACCGGCCAGCCCAAGGCCACACTCGGCCTGAGCCAGGGAGCCACGGGCTGCTGCAGAACTGTTCTATTCAATCTCCTTTTTTCCCTTGCTCCTATCCCCAGACTCTTTCCTAGAGGTGGAGGAAAATACCTTCAGTGAAGCCCTGGAACTTTCAGGCACCCCATTTCCATATTTTCCTGAGATGATGCCACAGGCCAGTGGAGACCATGTCATCGCTCCGACGCCTACAGAAGAAAAAACCTTAAAAAGTTACTCCAGCAAACTGGGATCAAAAGTGTCGGGGTGTTTAGAAAGGACTTGGTTAGTTGTGGGGAAGCTGGCCAGATACATGAGCTAATATCAGCATAAATCTTTTCATTACAGTTCAGGCATCTACAAATCGTGCTTCATTTTTATAAACCTACCAAACGTGCACTGTTGGTTATGGGGAACAGGCCATATAATCAAGCCTGAAAATGTGGCTTATCCATAGTTTTCGGATGACCAAAATTTATGTTTCTTTTTACACTCAGAGATAAACACTTTTGCTTGCACAGAAATCCAGCTCTTCGCTTGTTCACTCAGTGCCTTAACAGGGCCTGGTGCAAAGCAGGAGCACAACGCCCCCTGCACAGTAAACACGCAGTGATAGCAATAACAACCATTGTTATTGCTGTTGTTGAACTTTTGTATCCTTTTTTTTCTTACCCAGCATTTTCCCACTCGTGTAAACCCCCATTTCTTATGAAGAAAATTATCTCTGGAATCTGTTTTAATAAGTACGCCTGAAAATGTGGCTTACTTAGGTTTTTCTGATGCCCAAAATTCTCGTGTACATGTTGTGTATATATTTTTTCCCTCTCTTTGTCATTATGTCTACCTACAAAAACATGTGTCCCTGGCTTGTCAGCCGTTCTTGAATTCCCATTCTGACTCAGTTCTAGGCAAAGTAGGAGATAGATGTACAAATCCATAATTTTTGGGAAAGGCAGTCATAATCCACTCAGAGATGCATTCTTGGCTAGAGCAACTACCCTATGAAAAATACGTTTATTCATTGTTTCTTCCCTTCATTCTATATGCATTTTTTGAACACCTACTGAGTACAGCTTGTACACCAGTCACAATTTACAGCTCTGCTTGGCTGTCACGAGTGATACTCTGGAGGTTACATACAGGCACTTTTGATTCTTCCAGTCTCTGGAATGCATATTGCTGACAACCCCTAGGTTAATTAGGAACATTTAGGAAAGCATTTCAGTAACATTTTTTTCTGGATCACTGATCATCCTGTTGTTAAAAATAATCAGTAAATTTGATTGTGAAGATTACCTATTTTATGGTAGAGCTCTGGCAGCTGAACCTCCACTTTCTCTCTCTGGAAAAGATGGTACTCAGCTTGTTCACAGACTGGTGGGATCATGTTGAATTGTCTTGCTACAGAGTAGGCTTCCTAGGGAGAAATAAAAGAGCAACTGAATTTATACCTGATGAGAAATAAGGCTGTATGCATGAAAAAATTTCATTTTGGTGAAATCAATACAAACCAAGAAAAATGTAGATTGCCAAATAGTAAGCAAAGTTATGACCATCAATTTCACTAAGAAATACCAATGCAGGAAATCTTTATTATTCTTTGAGAGGTTTTGGAATCAGTTAAGGTCCAGGGAAAATTAGTCAAAGTATGAATTATGGACTATTACAAAGAAAACATAGTTTGACTATTTCTAGGTTCCTAAAGAAATAAAACTTAACTAATATATAATATAAAAATGATCTGTAATTAGCATGTTATGAACAGTACCATTATTTAATACATTAAAAAAAAACCCTGGAATATTGTGTTCATATGTCTCGTTAGCTGAGAAATTTACTCTCTTACTACCAGAGAACATGCTAAAGCACAATTCCTGTTAGATACCTGCACCCTCCCTATTGTATTCTGAGCTGAGGAGATCCACCCCCCATATCCATCTCTATTACTGATGGAATTGATCATAGAATTCTAGTGCCTTTGTGATTGTGAAGAAAGTTTGCAAAAGATCTTACAACTTACACATGATATCTAACAAACAATAATACGTACTCAACGGCCATTTCAAAATAGGAATGAAATTACCATGATCTCCATGGCGCTCCAGCGGGAGGTTCCCCAGTACATTGCCATGCCTTGGTTTATCACATGTGTCATGGCTCGAACGATTTCTATGGAAAGCCAAATAGTTAGCACTACATATACTTTTCAAAGTTATACAGTCTTTTTTTTTCCTTTTCCTGCCCAAAGCTTAGATATTTAATGCAGTTATTTGTTGGATTAATATAATTACTTTGACACGGGTGATAACATAATAGTCTAACATAAAATATTGATAGTTTGGAGGTGGCTGGTACTTTTGGGTAAACTGACGTTCCATTTTCAGATTGCAGCAACAACATGAAATGATATTAAAAACAGAATGACCACTTTAAGTTCTTCCTTTACTTTTATCGCTTCAGGGTTCCTGGCTGGATAAAAGAACACATGATTCACCTCTTTCAGAACATGGGGACCTTAACTGCTCACTAAAGTGAGAAGTGAGAGAAAGCATTTGTTTTGACTTTGTAGAATGGAGGGTCATTGGGGATAGAAGGCCTGCCTCTGTGGGTGGGATCTGCAGAGCTAAGACTCACTCAGGGTGGCTGTTTAACAGAGATGACTCAACAACAATGTGTTTGGCAGAAAGATAAACATATTAAATGCTGAACAAACAGCCAAAGCCACAGTGGCTCCCAGCCCGCACGGGCTACTCTGTCCTTGACCACTTTGGACCAAAGTTCATTCTAAGACACCCATGTCATGCATTTCACTGGGGCCTGCGTGTGGCCCCGCCCTGCTTGCTCATCAGCCTCTTTCAGCCTGACATCATATTTCCTAAACAGGAGAATGAACCCCTTCCCAGAGGGGTGGAGCTGAGCTAATCTTCTTGGCACCAGCCGATGTGATGCAGAACCAGGGAGCGTGGAGAACCTCAAGTTCAATTGAGTGATAAGTCACAGACACGGCTGGATTTCTTCTATAAAGCGGGTCAGCCAAATACCCAGGATGCTAGGTCATCTGACATTTTCAAGGGGCTGCAGGCCACGGGCTTTTCTTGCCCCACTAATATCTGGTAGGTTACGTGTCCTTCAGAAGAATCAAATCCTTTCTCAAACTCAAGTTGAGTAGATGTGTTCTTCTTTTATTTCTCACCAGCAATCACTGTCTTAATTGATCAGGGACAGGATTTGGAACGAGACAGCGAGGGTTAGGCTCTTAGCCTGCTAGCTTATTTGGCTTACGTAAACCATTTAAAATTGCCCTTGGTTTCTTTGTGTGGAAGATGGGAATGCTTTTACTCACCAGAGTCCCAACAGAGGTAGAACTAGGCTTATAAGAAAAATATTTTTCTTTCTTGGAGAAAGACTTCTAAATATCAGTTTATTACTCAGCAACTAAATCTATGAAGATAGTTCTCCCTTGATAAAGCAAATGAGATACAAAAGGTTATATGAAACCTTTTCTTTCCTTTTATTATACAAATGGAAATGAGTACCTGTGCTAAAATTTCTGGAAGTCTAAAGCCATTATTTAAATCTCTGCCCCAAAGTATTCTCTCTTTGGAGATCTCCATCGTTGTGCTAGTTCCCTTTCCTTTCACATCCTGTTTCATCCAGAGCTGAGATGTTCATCCAGTCAACAGGATTTATGAGGCGTCTGCTACGCTGGGGGTTGGGGATATTGGGGCAAATCAAACACGTTCGTAAACACTGAGGAGGTTAACAGAATAAAATGAGCCCGAGAGCCTCCCCTGTCTCCATTCTGTAATCACGTAAGATGAGCACAGGACTGGCCAGTGGCTTGGCCATGCGGCAGTTCCTGAGGCCTTGGCAAGAGCAGGTAAGGTGGAGTGGAGGTGGTACTCCTCCTGTACCTTCATTCCCTTATTTCACACACACGTATTAAGAACTTAATATTTGCCAGGCACTGGGTTCATCTGTGAGTAAAACAGATACAAAGCTCCTTGAGTTCTGAATTGAGTGGAGAACATGGAGATGTAAACAAGTAGGTAATTACAAAATGTGACATGTTATGAAGAAAACCAATAGGGGGCTGAGATAGGGAATAAGAGGGAAGACCGATTTTAGTTGGTTAAGGAAGGTCTCCCTGAGGAGTAATGTTTAGGCACAAAAAATAAATAGGGACCAGTCAGGTGAAGAACAGTGGAGGAGGATTGTAGGCCACTGGAGCAGCACGTGCAAAGGCCCTGAGGCTGGACAGAGCTTGGTGAGTTCCCGCAATCAGGAAGCCATGGAAGCTGAGTCAGGAAGGAGGACAGGGCTACAGGATGAAGTTGGCAGAGGGCAAACCGTGTCATTTGTCTGTTATTCAGGGCTTGATGGGAAGTCACTAACATTTTTAGGTAAGGAAATGACGATGCAGAGAACATTTCAGAACACTATCTGACCGTGCTGTGGGGCTGGAGGGGGGCTGGAGGAAGCAGGAAGATCTTTAGGAAGGTATTGCAGTACTCCAGGCAGGAATTGAGGGGGCTTGGAATCGGGAGGTGGTAGCAAAGACAGAGGCATGAATGGATCAAAATCTGTTTGGGGGGTAGTATCCCCTAGACTTGCAGATGGACTGAACGTGGCAAGCGAGGACGAGGAGGAATGAAGGCGATCTCCCAGATAACTGGCCATTCACCGAGATGCAGGAGACTGAGCGAGGAACAGTTTTGGGAGGAAGAGCCAGGGTCTCCCCTTGGACATGCCAAAAATGGAGATGACTGTGAGAGACTGAGGGGAGATGTTGAGTGGAGATAACTGGATAATGACACGGTGAACAACCTGGGCTGGAAGCGAGCTATTTATTAATTACCAGTCTTTAACTGATTTAAATCCATGGAAGTAGATGAGACTATAAAAGGGAAGTCTGCCCAGAGAAAAGAGTAGAGGTTCTAAGAGCCAGAGCAGGAGTCGGGGAGAGGTCACTGCAGCCAGAGGGACAGGAAGGAAGCCAGATGGGGGGACAGTTCAGAATCAAGAATAGGGAGTGCTTGCAGGAGCTGTGCCCGAGGACTGGAACACACGAGCATTCGAGTCAGAAGGACACAAAACAGCGTCCATAGGATTTGGCTGTGTGACAGGGAGGTCACTGCAGACCATGAAAAGAGTGCTGTCAGTGTCTGTGGTGCGTTGGGACCAAGGCCAGGCTGGAGCCAGTGGTAGAATGGGCGTGGGGAAGGGAAGGCGTTAGAGACAACCTGGGTAGACTCAAGTTAGGAAATGAATGGAGCAGAGAAAGAGGGCAGCAGCTGAAGGGGTACTCAGAGTCAAAGGAGAGTTTTATTTTAAAACTGGAAGATGTAAGAGTAAGCCTATATGCCACTGGGAGTGATCTAGATAGGGGAGTTACTGAGGATGTGGGCTAGAGGGTTGGGGAGTATGGAGGGAGGGAGACTTGACACAGGGAGATGGAGGAGAACAACACTCCTGGGGGTGGGAAGGACACTTCTGGCAAGATGGTGGGACCTCAGGAGGTTTGGAGAACTCATCATAGGAAGACAGGGGAGCCCCTGTTTGATGAATTCAATTCTCAATAAACTATCAATCAAGTGAAAAAGAGGTGGGAAGTGAGGAAAAGGTGAGAAGGAACAGTTCTGAGCATGGAAGAGCCTATGCAAGATGCCCTTATGCCCCAGGTACTTTAGCTGAGGGGTAATTTCTTTGCTCCGTGATTTGTTTGGCTACTGACTCTGCAGGAAAGGGCTGGTGGAATGCAGAAAGGAGTCTGGGAGGAGGAGGCTGCAGCACGGAATGCAGGGAGGAATGCAGAGAATGTAGAGGCCACAGTTAGAGATTCACGTTGCCACAAAGTAAAACTGAATTTAATGCATATTCAATTTTTTTTTTTTTCCCACATGGGCATGCGGGGTCTTAGTTCTCCAACCAGGGATTGAACCTGTGCCCCCTGCAGTGGAAGCGCGGAGCCCTAACCACTGGACCGCCAGGGAATTCCCACTTCATTTTTTTTTTTTGTAATGTCAGAGAAAAACCCCCCAAGTTTTTAGCTATCTAACATAATAGGAAATAACTGTACTGATAGCTGAGGTGGGTTTTTAACATAATTCTACCAAAAGGACACTAGAGGGCAGCATTGTTAAGAAAAAAATCAACTGAGTTTAAATGCTTGTTTTACTTGTACATCACGGAAATGCGTTTTTAAAGCATCCTAGTCAGAGCCTCGATACTGAGTGGGGAAAAGGCCCTTAGGAAGATCATTTAGTGCATTGCTTTCACCTGCCCCTGGGAAAGGACATGCAGACAAACAAACTGACTAAATCCGGCAACTCAGGACTGAATGTGGCTCCTGGAGCCCAGATTCGCCCGCTTTTCCAGGAAGCCTTGGCATCAGTGGTTCTCAACCCTGACTGCACCTTAAAACACCTGGGGAGCTTTGAAAACTACACTATCCAGGCTCCACGGAAGTTCTATTATATCAGAATCTCTGGGGGTGAGGCTGGGCATCAGTCTCATCCCAGATGAGTCCAGTGTGCAGCCAGGGTTCAGGGCCACTCGCTGTGCTTGTCTACACGGCTGGTCCTAAAGTATGGCCCCTGGACCACCAGCAGCAACCCCTGGAACCCGGTAGAAATGCATATCCTAGGGTCTTACTCCAGATGTACAGAATTACAAATTCTGGACATGGGTAGGGCCCAGCATTCTGTTTTAAGCAGCTCTCCATGCAATTTTAGTACAGACTAAAGGTTGAGAAACACTGCTTTATATCATCCCCAAGTAAGCCATGTCAGTGAGTATCAACTTCCTCCCACATTTCCTCTTCTGCTCTGTCATCTAATCTTAGTGCTTCATGCTATACTTTAACCTTTATTTGCTTTAGTACATATGCAAACAGTCACTGTGACATGCATGCATGCATGTACACACACACACAAGCACATACACACTTTAGTATGAATTAGAGGAATTTGAAGAAAATGCAGAGGTCCAAGTTCTAGTCTACTTCAATGAGCCTGGGCCTTTGTATTATATTCGTTAGCTCTCAAATCTCAGTGTTTGAGAAACACTTCTAAACTATGGGAAAACTTGGTTAAATCCTTCCTGTGCACTCCTTTCCAGGTTGAAATCATTATTATATAACCCACAGGCCCCAGGCAGCCTGCACTCTC